GGACTCTACACAGGGGGACAGCTTGAGGCTCTGTTTCAAAAAAAAGGAATAAAAATCCATGGTGGATGACTCCTAACCAGACATCCTCCTCACTGGGCTATACCACCTCCCTTCCAAAAAAATGTGGTTGGCAGGAACTCTTGGCTTCCTCCACCACAGCTGTTTATTATGGTTGATGGTGATGCACAGAGATGGAAATGGAAGTATTTCCCCTGGGAGTTTCAAATATGGAATTACTTGCCTACTGCTAACATGATTTACACATGGGAAGACTGAAAACTGCGGAACTAAATTACCTCTTTTTTAGCCTAAATACCACAGTTGTTTACGCGCTTACAAATGAGATAGATAATTTATTAAGAGTGGAAAGGTCTGGCAGAAATCTATATATCCAGAATTCGTGCTCTAATCCCTCAGAGATGCATCACAGTATGATTAATACCACACTGTTCTTCCCTCTCCCCACACCTCTGCCGTGCCTCACTCTTCTTCCTTCCTGAAAGCTGTGCCCATGGCAGAGTGCCCTAAGTATATCTGCAGTGCTGCAGTGATGAATTGCAACTCATTTGAAAATGCATATTCGATGAAATTATTTTGCTGTTTGCAGCAAATGCTAAATTCCAAGAGGATTCCTATCTTCCAGTTTGTTATCACAGCACTTAACAGCAGGTCAGGCATAGTGGCTCACACCTGTATGTAACCCTACTGCTTTGGGAGGCTGAGCTGGGAGTTTGAGACCATCCTGAGCAAGAACAAAACCCTATCTCTCACTCTGGGAGGCCAATGCGGATAGATAGCTTGAGCTCACAAGTTCGGGGCCAGCTTGAGCAAGAGCAAGACTCCTGTCTCTACTAAAAATAGAAAAACTGAGGCAAGAGGATCACTTGAGCCCAAGAGTTGGAGGTTGTTGTGAGCTATGATGCCACAGTACTCTATGCAGGGCAACGACTTGAGATTCTGTCACAAAAGAAAAAAAAAAAAAACCCAAGACCTCTATCTCTAAGAAAAAATAGAAAGTAGTCCCAGCTACTAGGGAGGCTGAGGCAGGAGGATTGCTTGGGCCTAGGAGCTGGAGGTTGCTGTGAGCTTAGCTGGTGCCACTGCAGTCTATCCTGGGCAACAGAGTGAGAGTCTGCCCCTAAAACAAACAAACAAAACCAAAAAACAAAACCAAACAGTGAACAGAATAATACTGGTGTATATTATGTCACCTCAATATCTCGCAAGAATCATTATTTTTACTGTAAAACCATGAAAAAATTAATAGTAGGTCACAGATGTAAAAAGAGAAAATATTCCTGTCTATACAGTTTTGTTATTCAAAAATCTACATGCTATGTAATGTTAGAGATTGTTCCTGGAAAGCACATTCAATTTGTACATGACACAAATAATCAGAGGCACATTTATTGAGTGTTTTTGCTGGGGCCAGGAACAGAGCTAAAGGAGCCATCTGCATTATGTCATAAATGCAATACTGCTGTGACGAAGGAACTATCACTGAGCTCATTTAGTAAGTGAAGAAAGAGCTTTAGAATTTTTTCCAAGGTCACATATTTTTCAGTGAAAAGATCCAAGATTTAATTCCTGTTTATCAGATTCGGAGCTGTGAGTTGTATCGGCTATCAGACTCTACCCCTCCAAAGCATCAAAACAGGCGTCACTTCCGATTTCTAACCTACGAGCCATGGCCTTATTTCATCTGTGTTAGTCACAGTGATGCCCTGGTTCTGCATATTCACTCTGTAAGTCAAGCTGCTGCTGGAGAGAGTGCCTCAGCTGGACAGGGAGTTCATGGCGGCCCTGCCTGCTCTCACATCTAGGGATCGGGGATGAGATTGAGGACAGCTTTTGCTCTTACATAGGAACAGCAAGTTTTCATAACTGTTTTTCTCCTTTCTGAATCAAACTTCTCAAAAGTGGATGCTAGTCAAAGAGTTACAGCAAATCCCTGGAATTTCAGCAGACAATGTTCCCAGTGTTCTGGAGGGGCTCAATCCAACGGAAAAGTAATATCTGAAGCGTCCTGCCAGGGACCACTTCAGCAGTTGAGTCATAGGAGACTCTGGTTTAAGTTGAATTCCTCTAGAAACATATTAAGGGATTTCGTTTTCCCAAAGTGAGAAAATGCACTAAATGGAAGAATTATTATAAAGTGGTCCAGAAATGTGTGCTTTAAGGGCAGAATTAAAATGAGGCTTCAAGATTTATGTATAGAGATTGACTTTATTGAAGGTCAAATCTATTCTATACCTGCACGGAAACACTCTCCTTCCCTTCCACACAGCCACATGCGCATTCTACCCTGCAATGAGGTCAATCTGTGATTACAGCTCTCGACACAGAGCTTTGGATAAACAGTGGTTACTCTGGTTATCTTCAATCAAGACAGAGATGAAAGAGGATTCAAAGATTCACAGAAAGAGATGCTAGAATGCTATTATTCTGTGTTTCCCACCGACTATCACAAAAGTAAGGATTTTGAAATCAAGTATAAGTAAGGGGAAAAGGAAGCTTTCAAAATAGATTTTTCTTTATTCAACCAAGAGATTTCACAATAAACGGACAATAAAGAGAAAAATGAGGCAATGGCAACTCCTTCTGGAGAAAGTCTCAGACAAAGGTAAGACTAACCCCTCTGCGTTGCTCCCTTATGTGCCTAGGGCACGCAAATCCTAAATTCAGTTATACTTATGCCCATAAAATCTGCCTCTGGACAAGAAATTAAAACGCTGAGTCCCACCTATTTTAATCTCCAACAGATGGATGTCATTAAAACTTGCCCCCTTTCTAACCCTAGGATGACATCTCCAGCCAAGAAAGAAAAATTTCCTCGCAAACGCTTCTTGACATAGTTCTGCACGTTTTTTTTCTATGTGAATGTTACAAAAACAGAAAAACTCTCTTAGCACCCAGCAGCGAGGACATGAAAAGATCTGTGTGCATTGATACGGCCACATTTTATCTTAAAAGAGCGCTGCCCCAGAGGCTCTGGGGCAAACTCACAGGGGGCCATGTGTTTGCTGTAAGATTTCTTTAAAATTCTGTGCTTACGTTTCAATAATAACCTAGTAAGAAAAAGAAGCTAGCATATCCCGGGTCATCTGGATGGCTACCCTATAAGTATAACCATATAATTTTGGTATATGCCTTTGTGTTTATAATTCAGTGCGTAACAAGTGAAGTCTAAATAATATATAAATGCATGGCAGGCAGAAAGTTTCGTTGTAGGGCAGAGAGGAAGGGTCGGCCAGTGAATCTGGTCATCACACTTAGTAGGGTGGTGAAGACATCAGAACTAAAAGAGCTTGAGCAGCAGCAGTCGGTAGCGTATTCATGTGGTAAATCAACATATGGCTCAGATGCTTCACAGATAGGCCCAACTGGCATCGGTCATTAGCAATGAGTATAACAGAAAATCCACAGTGAAACGTTTTTCAGTTCCCAACTGCTATTTTTTATTGGATTGAGTATACGGCTCTATCACAATACTAATTTTAGCTCCCAGTATGCAAAGAGAGCTCTCAAAGATTATTAAATGGCATGCCATTAAAATTGACAGTGGCAAATTTCCCTGATAGCTTTAAGCTGAACTAAGAAATAAAACTTTAAACTTATTAATAAGAGTTTGGGCCACATGCTTAGCAAAAAGCATTCTTTATGTTGTTTTTGCTGAAGTCAAATTCAGAGAAAATATTAAACTAAATATAGAACTCTGAGGTTATATCTTTTTACTATTAAGCTCAATCTTTTTTACTCAGCTTTAGACATTTCTGCCCACTCTATTAAATT